TATGATGGCAGGTATTTTTTTAAAAGAGTATTTAGGAAGTTTTAAAAGCATTTAAATAATTCTTTGAGATGAATGTAGATTTTATACGAAATGAGGGGGCAAAAACCATTGTGTCTGAATGTGGAAAATTTGTTAAAAGACAAATCATATTTTTTTTATTCCATATTTTCCATAATATATTTAACTAGAAATCTTGGTAGAATGAATACGGTAAATTTTTATACTATTCTGATTCACCCATCGTCAACTGAAGGTAAAATATTATTTATCCATAAGGAGAAAATTCTGATTCCCTGTCATTCTTGACGTTTTATCAGCTAATATTTTATAAATTAAATATGTAAAAAAAGAGATAGTGAATAATTAAACCTTTAAAAAAGTTATTTCGTACTTTTCTTTTTCTATATCTTTTTAAATTTTGTTAAATTGTTCTTTAAATCTTAATTTTATAAAATCCTTATATATGAAAATATTTATAAAAAAAATAATATATATATATAGAATGAAAATTGTAAAAAAGAAATGTATAAATTATTTTAGAAAAATGAAGTCTTTACAATAGTTTTTCATAATAAATTTTATCATTAATATTCTCTTTTTTCTATGTTTTATCATAAATTATTAATTTTATTATCTGGATGTTAAACCTAGCTGCTATTGTCCACCATAGTTCCAAGTTAAATTGGCCATATATTTATTTCACTGAATCCAAAAGGCAACTTGAGCTATTGGTAACGTTAAATAATATTATATCAACCCAAGATACCTTAGCGAGATTAAAAACGTTACCAACTATGATTTTTTTACCTTAAAATTATAAAAATCCCCGTCTAGTTTTTTTGCATAGAGTATATTGAGGGTCAAGAATAAAACTTTGTATACATGTTCCTTAAAGCCATTGCTATATAAAATTTATCCGAAGTTTGTAACTTAACTAGAAGTCACTCAATAAAGATTTACACAACATATATCACCTTGGAATAAAGTTTGTTCAGTCTGATTTGCATGATTATATAATGACTCCTGCAAACTTTTCATATTAACAATTAGCAGCGATGTCAGTTGTAAGATAACGATTATAATCATTTTGACTTTTTATTGACAAATATTTGCGTATCAATTATTTTTATAAAATATCCTTAATTGTAGGGATGCACCGATATATTTTATCAGGGCCTATATTTCATCTTTTTAAAATATATCGGTAATATTATAAAATTCTCTTATTCGATAAAATGAAATCTTAATTTAAAAAAAAATTTATTTCAAATTTCAAAATATATTTGTTATTTATTATGTAGAATAATATTATTATATAAATAAGTGTTTTATAAATAAAAATATTATATATACTTTTAGATTCTTGAATATAAACTATAACTGATCATTCAGTGGCGCAGCTTAGGACTGATTCATGGTAAGGGGGGGGGGGGGGGTAAAAGGAATTTTTTTTGGGGGGGGGGCTTCGCCCCCAAACCTAAAAATTTGTCAATTGTGCTTTATTAGTGTCTAACTACTATAGTAGCCAGCATAAATGAAAAAATATTAGTAACAAAATTTTGGTCAAATTTATGATTAATACACGACTGAAAGCATTATTCTGAAAATTTTGTCAATGTTTAGTCAATTGTAAATTAATTCAATCCATTCGGTGTAGAAAGAAGAAAGAAATTCACTCAATATATCTTATTCTATGTTAAAAATAATTATTTTAATTAAATTTTTTCATATAACAAAACTTTGCAGATAATTTCATTATAAATTTTATTTATTATTAAAATACTTTAGTATAAATAACACCCCTTTATTGAACTAATTTATTTTAATTATAATATACAATAAATATAAATTTCAAAATGTAGAAATTTTATATAGATTATATTAAAAATTTATTCTAAATAACTATATTTAAAAAAAATAAAATTACAATATATGAGTAATTCTTCTACGGTATTTAAAAACATCTAATTTAACAATTATAATTAATACAAATGAGTATATTAATAAAACAAATGATTCTTATTAGAGATCTGCAAAAGTAGGAAAATCTAGTTCGGGCCTAATATTTTTAAAAAAAATTCAGGCCGGGTTTTATGTTAAATTTTTTATGTAAAATAAAAATATTTGATTTTATTTATAAAAACTAGACGCCATATAACATATATCTTTTATTTTGAGTAATTATAAAAATGAATTTCTATATTTAAATAAATTCGGGATAGGCCGACAAAACTTTTTAAAATAAATTTGGGGTTCGGGCCGGCAAAAGTTTTTTAAAATAATATTGGGCCTGGCTGGGCTTGAAAAATTAGGCCCGATGCAGATCACTAATTCTTATTGCAAATGGATTATTTTTATTAAAAATAGTATATTATAATATATAAATATTATGAATAAGAATTCATTATAATTACCGTTTGAATATAAAAATTTTATGCTAAGAATATAATAATATAGCAATTTTATGATTTGAATTTATAAAGAGAGGTCTATTTTTCTCTGAAATATGGCTAATTATCAAGAATCAAATTTTTATCTAGAATAATCTCCTTATAAATATTTAATATTGCGAATCCATTTAAACGGCTTCACCGGTGCTATTTCTTAAATAGGTTTTTAACCATTTCAAAGATGAAAAAGACCTTTGATTAGTGCAAGTGCTAATCGGTAAGGTAGCTAAGATAAAAAGCAATGTTTTGATATTAGGCAGGTAATTTAAAGTGAACCTAAACATGGAAAGGGCCTGCAAAGCATATTTTGTTCTCAAAGATTACTCTATTCTGTCAAAATTTGACATCACAAGTAACTTATTATATGATCCTGATAATTCATCAGAATAAAACACTGAGATTTTCTTAATATGCTCTCGCGTTTCAAGTCTATTTAGATTCAAACGGCAAGAATAAAAGCTGTTTACAATAAAATTGTGAAAATCTTTCCTTTAATTTGAAATAAAAATGTAATAAGGGGAGTAAAAATATTTACTTTATAAATATCATCAGTGGTAGATGCATCAATATTTAAGAGATTGGACTATCTAGAAACTACTCTAGGTTTAAAATTTTTAATCCCAAACATATTAGCAATCACCTTTACTTTCGCATTATTACCAAATTAAATGATTTTTCTTTTATTTAAAAATTAATTAAAATTTTTAAAACTATCTAATTAGTTTAACAATATAAATTTTATTATTAAATTTATAAATATCTAGCTAGAAAAAATTTATAATATATTTTTATTGATATTTAATATTTTACATATAATTTTTAATATATATTTTTTTAACCATGTTATCATTTAAAATTGAAAATTCTTATTTGTTTTTTTTAAATATATTTCATTTTGATATCGTATGTATACAATTTTATTTATAAATTAAAACCGTTTTTTAAATAAAATTATTCGTAATAAGAAAAATAATTCTAATTTTAGGAGGTTATGGGGGGGGGGGATCATTATAATATATTTAAATGACTTACTATAGTATAGTTAATAGATGTTATACTATTAAAAAGTATATGAGATGAGTAGATAGATGATGTAGTGATGCAAAATCGCTCCATTTGAGCCGAATATTTTAGCCAAAAAGTTTGCCTAAGCCTCAAAATTTAGCTAATAGATGTCCAAACCTTTGTGTTAGAACAAAATCTTCAGGCTTGCGTAATGTTTTTCTAAAAAAAATAGTGAGTTAGCCATTTTTAAAAATCGACTCAAAAGATATGCATTAAAAATTAAAACGATTAATTGCTTACAGAATACAAAATGATGATACATATTGGATCGGCCTCCAAAAAATGGTATCTGTACTAGTGATCTGCATCGGGGCTAATTTTCCAAGCCCGGCTCGGCCCGAAATTTTTTTTAAAAAAGTTATGCCAGCCCGGCCCGAACCCGAAATTTTTTAAAATAGTTTTGCCGGCCCGGCTCGAATCCTAAATTTTTTTAAAAAAATTTACCGACCGGCCCGGCCCGGCCCGAATTTATTTAAATATAGAAATTAATTTTTATAATTACTCAAAATAAAAGACATATGTTATATGTCGTTTAGTTTCAATAAATAAAATCAAATATTTTTATTTTACATAAAAAATTCAATATAAAATTGATAAATTTAGATATATTTAAAAAAATTTCGAAGATCCGACCCGGCCCAAACCCCATTATTCTAAATAAAATTAGGCCCGAGCCCGGCCCGATGCCTCGGGCCTAACTTTGCAGATCTCTAATCGGTACACCCCAACATAATTGAAATAGACACTTCCAAAAATATAATACAAAGTATATATAAAATGTTTTTAAATACTAGCTTACTCATATACAATATGATTTGTTGTAAAACATTCCCAAATTTTTGATGCAACTTTATTAAAAAATTATTTAACTTTATGCAATTATTGTTTTTTATACAAGTATATTTTAATAATACATTTTCTTACACTCTTCTCTATATTTATATCCATTCGAAAAACGCTAGTGAAAGAAAAAACAAATTTTTTTACCGTGATACTAGATAAATATAATATAAATTAGAGATCTGCAAAAGTTTTTTAAGAAAATTCGGGCTGGGTCGGGTCTTAGAAATTTTTTAAAATATATCTAAATTTATCAATTTTATGTTGAATTTTTTATGTAAAATAAAAATATGTGATTTTATTTATAAAGTAGACGCCATATAACATATATCGTTTATTTTGAGTAATTATAAAAATTAATTTCTATATTTTTAAAAAAAAATTTGGGTTCGGGCCGTGCAAAACTTTATAAAAATATTTTGGGCCTGGCCAGGTTTGAAAAACTAAGCCCGATGGAGATAATATAAATCTATAACAGTTTTTTGCTAAATTTTATAAGTTATTTACACAATAACTCAAACAAGTTAAAAAAATTAAGAAATAACAAATCATATAATTACTGTAAAAGTTCCAGTTGCTGATGAATAATTATTTTAATTTTATTTATATCTTTCTGAAGCATAATAAATAAATTTATTCTTCATAATCGAAAATTATATTGTTTTCATAACCCAATGGTATCACAAAAAGAATTATCTGTAAAAATTTTAAAATTACATCTTACAACATTCATAACAAATAATTTTAAAAAAATATATTAAGTAATATTAGTATTATCAAAAAAGTGATAAAAAATATGAATAAATATAAAAATATGTTTTTAAAAGATTATGAAAAGGGGATACATAAAAAAATAAAAGTATATTAATTATGAGGAATTCCATATGAAAATGGAGTCGGTTGATTTACATAAGGTGGTGCGCCCTGATTAAATTGTGTAACCGAGTTGTATATGGGTGGTACGATTGGACCTGCAGTTAACATTAATCTAGGTTGTTCTAAATTGCAAAAATCAATAATATAAATCATGCGCATTATTTACCTAATACAATATTTTCAGCTTTCATATCTTTACGGGTTTCCTCGGATTCTTGCAATTTGTCAATCTAAATAAATATTTTGAATAAAATCTATAAAATTGGTAATACCTTTATAGTGCATTCCCGTAAAATTTGAATCATGTATGGCATAGCAAAATCCATAATGTTATGTCTCCAAGCTAATTCCAATATAACATCGGGTCTCAACAGATCGTAACAATGGTAAAGAGACGCTGAAAAGCATTCAAAACGTTTTTCATTCAAAAACCATTCTAATAATTCTTCCGCAATATCTCTGTCTCGAGACTCAGCAGCATATTCCATGGCATCCTTTCAATTAAATAATATGGATTAATATCTTTTTTTTTATTTTAAATATTTATAAACAGAAGCATTAAAAAATAACAATTTTATTACATTTTATTAGAGGTGTAACGATATATGATTAGGTTATCGAATATTATAAAATTTTCTGATCAGATAAAATGGCATCTTAATTTTAAGAAAATTTATTTTAAATTTCATAATATATTTGTTTGTTACCCATTAATAGATTAATGATATTATATAACTAAGTGCTTTATCAATAAAAATATTTTGTACTTTTAGATTCTTGAATATACACTATAAATCATTATAATATATTTTTATGGTTTATGTTGTATAGTTAAATTATAGATGTTATACAATTAAAAAGTAGATGATATAAGTGATCTATATAATGATGCAAAATTGCCATTTTTAAAAACTCGAGATTTCGTTAATAGATGTCCAAACCTTTGTGACAGCAAGCAAAATCTTCAGGCTAGCGTAATATTTTTCTGGATAGAAGTGAGTTGGTCGTTTTTAAAAATTGACTTAAATGGAACGATTTTTACTGCATTAAAAATTAAGATTAGTTGATTACAGAATACAAATCAGATATTTGGATCGGTTATCGGCCGATATCAATTTAATATATCGGCCGGGCTTCCAAAAGGTATAGGTCCCTACATTTTATATTTAGCTGTATATCCCAATTTGATTTTTAAAAAATTAAAAGGCTGAACCAAACTATTTTATCCACCGATTCTATGAATTGATGCTTGGAATCTCATGAAGCTTTTAGATTAATAAAAAAAGTTTTTAATAAATTTGCCATCATTGGGATAAGAGTCATTCCATGACAAATCAACCACAATTCGGCCGACCCCCTTCGATTTTTTTAAAATTTGGTAAGCAAAGAAAGGTCAATGTAACTAAGAAATAGCCAAAATTTTAGCCTCCTAACATTTATATTTTTGAAGATATTAGGGTTCAAAATGGCAAAAATGACGTATTTTTACCATTATCTGCCTTCATTCAATTAAGCATATCTTAAAAACTACATAATTGTAAATAACAAATTTAATATCAAAATTACGTACAAAGATTCTAATTTTAGATAAAAAAATTTTTTTTATTTTTTTTCCAATTTCCGGTTATTTTATTTAATATATAAAAACTAAAAACGATTTTTCGGAAATAATACGACCTTCAATTTTTTTTAAAAATTTTGTAGACATTATTAAACTCTTCCTTAATATTTATAAAAAAAAATTAATCTGAGACGCGGCCATCTTCATTCTCAAAATCGATAAAAATGTTTAGAAAAGTGTATAAATATTTTCCCGAAAGGGGGCGTCTTTGTATAAAATTATATATTAATCAGTTTTTAATGGGTTTTCTTGAACTATTTGATATAATTTAAAGGATTATTCATCTTGTAAGTGAAAATAACAATAAATGGGGCTTTCATTCAATTATAGAAATTGTCTATCGATAAAAGAAATTCAAATTATTACTTTATTTATAATTTATTATAAAAATTTTTGCCCATATAACATATATTTAATAAATATTAATAAAATATGTTCAATTAAGTTTCGACTTCTTGAATATATGAATCAGAATCTTGTGCATTTCATATATGGCGCCCTAAATATTTAAAAAATTGATATAATTTAAATTTAAACTCACTTTCAAAGGATTCTAATTTTTCGGTAGCGCATTTACTTTCTTGTGACGACAATGTATAACTACGGCCAGTAGCATTTAACAGTGAAACTAATGTTAAGATATGACATTTGGGCAAGTAAAGAGTGTCGTCTATACTTGGAAATGTAAAGGAATTAGAAGGTCGGGATAGGTGTAAAAACTTTATATATATCTTCCTGGTTTTGATTTTTCATTAAAACAAAGCTAACCACCAATTAGAATAGTAAGGATACGTTAGGTATCCTGATATTTCTTCAATAATTATACTTTCATCATTAAATTATAACTATTCTAAAGTACTTTCTATTGAATTGGAATACATTTAATTTTAAATTGATGTAGATCTGTTGGAATCAAGGTGTGTATTTTGTGTGTTCCAGATATAGATCTAGTTTTTGAAAATCTTTCCCTGAGTAATAGATCTTCGTAATCATAATTTATTTTGGTCATCTTCAAAATATATGGCATTAATATTTTCTTTAGCTAACTCATACAATTCATATGATGTGTACTTTGAGTAAGGCCTTGTAAACTAGCTATAGCGGCTAATCTTTTAACAGTGCCACCAATCCCATCACAAACACTTTTCCCGTGTGCTGTAGCAGAAAAATGCCATTTCGCCTGTACCCCGAAATCCATCTCATGATGGCAAATATTAATAAAATTTTTACGATTTTTATACTGTGCAGCGGATCCACCGGAAAATAAAAAATTTTATTTGGCCTACAAATTTTATTAATTAAAAAATTTACCAATGTTTTGTTGAAATTATGTACTGCTATTGTATTGTGTTGCAAAGATTCGGATATCATTACATAATTTAGGCAACAAATATTGGCAAAATTATCTTTATAATATATAAGAAAAGGGTGAACAGTGGATTGAGCCCTATTCCAATGATAATTTTGTACTTCATAGTAAAGTATAAAGCTATAGTTTTCTTAAAAATCACAAAATTAAATATTGGTCTTCGTCTAAGTTCAATTTTAGATTGTTGATACAACGATTGTTGCGTTGAAATAAAAAAATGGAGTAATAAAGATTTCATTTTTTCAAAAAAGGCATTGATAAATTCACCTACTGGTTTGGTTATTGTTTGAAGAGTGGTTCTATCTACGGATAGCCATTGTTTGTATGTCGATGTCCTTAGAACGAAACAATATTTCTATTTGATCGCCTAAATGTGTTGATCCTAGACAATTATCACATTTGCCCATATAACTGGATGGTTGAGGCGAATTACAAATTATTAAGTGTAAAATATGTTTGTATGTTTTAAAGGGCAACATATCATTGGTTAAATTTGATCCAATGATCATTAATTTAAAATTTTGGTGTTAGCTGAAATCACATACATGTGTACCACTACCTCCAACGAGTATACAATTTTTGGGAGAATGCTTGGAAATTTCGAAAAACCAATTTTAACATCAGGCCTCATTTCTTTCAAATTATCTAAAATTAATCTCTTATGTATGGTATTCTTTTTTCCGTCTTTGGTCAAAATCGAAACGCAATCTTTCTTGCCTGGCATAATTCTGCTTATTTCGTCCATACAATAAAATTATTGTATAATTTTAACTGTATATTCGTCTATAGTTTTTCCAGGCTTGGGGTTAGGTGTTGATAGAAATCAAAATACCAAGAAATTAATTAAAAAATGAATTAATATAGTGAGCATGTGTTATTGAATGATTAAAACCCTTTCGCGCCCGGAATATTTCCCATGAACAAAAAATACATGTACTTTGATATAAAATAATGATTTCGACAGGTTACTGATAAAATACGAAATAATAAATATTGTTTTATAAATTAATATCTCTAAGTACCAACCATTAGTTTCTTTAAATATAAAAATTAATTGATTAAAAATTTTGATGACAAATGAACTCGCTGGGCGCGAAAGGGTTAAATAATTTTAAATTTTTTATTTATTTTATTGATTGAAACTATTTATGGTTATTCTAATTTAGTAAGGCTATGCCGATTTTAGAAAATCCGATCCAATATTTATATTGTTTTGGGTTATTTTATGATAATACTTTATTTTTAATCAGGATGCATGCTGGACAAAAATGTATTGTATCAAGGCTCACTTATTCCAAAAATAATTAGTTTTGGATAAATTTTCACATGTTCCAATATTATTATCTGCACTGCCCAAAATCTTTTTAAAATATATGAAGCATATACGTACTTTAAAAATGACTTACCTTGTATAACTTATCCTTTTTACACAACTCAACCGATTGTTTCCATCTATTATTGCCTTTGAAGAGGTAGGCGGCAATTCTTCGAAATTCAACAAGTTCGTGTCTTTCGAGAGCTTGGGCGAGGGCTATATTGTCAAAATTTTGATGAGTCTCGATGGACGCTTTTAGTCCATTGTAATCTTCCTCTAATATCGATAATTATCTAAATGTTTAATATATACAAATATAATAAGTTACCTTCAATAAGCAAATTGTTAAGGGCCTCATTGATGGCTTTATTGTTTAAGTTTTGTACAGATCTCAGGTAGGGTTTAACTAGTGCGATGTGCTTACTCTTGATAAACATATTAACGAACCGCGTGTGATCGAGTCTTGGTGAAAGAACAGTTAGTAGATCGTTAATTAGCATTGGTTTGTAATCCAGGTAGAATTGGAGTGCTTGGTAATACAATTCAATGTTGGCAACTTTCGGAATAATATCCTAATAGATATTTATGTTATATAAAGATGGTGAAAAAGATTAAACTTTAAAATGATTTTCTCTCCATGCATCAGTAGGGTGAGCGATCATGGTAGTCACAGCATTGTCATATTCCTCGTATTTATCATATAAAAACACCAATTCTGCCCATAAGTGAGCGCGATCTGCCGCTCTTAAAACCTGTATAATTAAAAATATAAGTTTCAGAATAAATAAATATACTTTGGGAATATTGACACGCGACCAAAATAATTCTAAAAACTCTCTCATCTTTTTCGGTTTATACTTTGAGTACAAAATGGCTAATTCAGTAAACATACCCATATGAGCCCTTTCTAACCCTATATTAATAAATAATTATAATGTATGGTGGCTTGAATATTGAAATGATTATGGTATATTCTATAAAATAGAAAAGTTTAAACATTATACCTAGAGCTATTCTTATTTTAATAATATTATTATAATGCCAATGATAAGCAATTAAGATAAATTCATTTTGCAAAATTAAATTTATATATATATTATAATTATAAATTAGCTCAAATGTCATGAAAAATAATAAGTAGTGTTGCGTAGCGGAGATTTTAGGTGAAAAAATCGGCTAAAACTTAATTAGTCAAAAATTTTATGCGGTTAATCGTAGATATGCCCAGCATTGATTATTTTTTATTTTTAGTAAAATAATTTATTTTATATTATTAAAATGGATTTATTTATTTGATGTTTTTTAATAAAAAAAAATGATATGTTGTAATATTATTTTTGTTACATTTAATTAGGGATTTTCAAGCCCAAAATTTTAAGAAATTTTTTTTTTAAGTTTAGAAAGAGTTTGGTTTTGGACATTTTGATTTCGTAAGAATTTTAAATCTTTTTTGTAAATAAATCTTTTTTGTAAATAAATCTTTTTTGAAGGAATTCTTTTGTGATTTTTTATAGTTTTTTTTAAACATTTTTGTAAAATTTTCTATTTTTTAAAGTATATTAAATGAGTGGTTTTTTCTAAGGAGTTTTTTTTTAAATATTTATATTAAACATTTTTATGTTATTTTATATGATCTTTTTAAGGATAATATTTAATGTGACAATTGTCATATTCGTTATTTTTTTTATTTTTTTGACACAAAAGGGTAAAAATAATATTTATATTGTAAAGATGTTAAATTATATATTCAATGAAGATGTTCCTTGGAAAAATGACAATTATCATAAAAAATATGTTTTTTAACGTGTTAAATTAAAATTTCAATTAAGATGTACCATATCAAAGTGAAAATTGTCATAATCGTTATTTTTAAAGTTTTCCAATATATTTTTGAGAAATCATTCAAAAAAAGATATTTTGTTTAAATTTTATTGAAATAATTTAGAAAAGTGCCAATTATCACAATCTTCGTTGTTTAACTTTCAATGTTGATATTTGGCTAAACAAAAAAACATATGGCAATTTTAATGCTCATAATCTTTGCTGCTAAATTTGATAGTGATTAGTAAAGAGGGTTGTAACCAGGGTTGTCAGGTCAAAATTTTCAAATTGCCAGAGAAATATGAAAATTTGCTTAAAAAAGCCCGGGCCCGGCATTTTGAATTGACTTAATTATCCTCCTATTATTTTTTATAATTAATGTAAATACAAATTCGGTAACTATTTTTCAAAATAAAATAACTTCTTGATTTATTAAAATATATTAATATCCTTTTTAAATATAAAAATAATGTAAACAAGATAAAATTTTATAAAAAAACAAACGATTTTAATTTTACAATGTAAAAAATATATTTTATGCGAATGTCTCGCAAAACATCCGAAATTGGAAATATACCTTGTGTGTGTATAACATTATAAGGATAGGCGCTTAATTATCACGTATCACGTTTAAATACATAATAAGGTAATATTGAACTCATTTCAATGATAATATTTTTATTTATTATTGTTCAATCACATTATTATAATCAGTGCAGGAGAGTGTATCTACATCCATTGCAAAACAAAAATAATCTCCAAAAATAAGAAATAATACAGATGCAACTACGGTTGCAGCAATTGTAATCACTTATCTTGTAGTACAAAATTCACAGAGCTACTTATCATTACAATGTAGGTAGAATCTTTCCCCATAATATTTAACGACTCCAAGATAAATGAAAACTTTACTTGTAGAACAAAAATGAGCAAGGATAGCATCAATGTTTTAGAACCTGAATTCAGGAGGTCAATTATTGACGATTTGAAAGATGTGCATACATATGCAATTTTCTAACAGATATATCTTATAAGGGAAATATTAAAATATTTCTTTTGGATCCTTGCTATTTCAATAAAATTAACGACGTTCCAAGAAGTATTAAATTTTTTCCTCTCAAATAATGAAAAATCCAAAGACATTGGGATCCTTCGCTATTTCAATAAAATTAACGATGTTCCAAGAAAAGTATTAAATTTTTTCCTCTCAAATAGTGAAAAATCCAAAGACATTGCTAGCCATATAATGGTAAATATAGCAGATTCGGGATTATCAATAAATTACATGTCAACTTTCTGATCTAATAATGCCTCAGTGAATTTGGAAAAAACCAGAGTGTATTTACAGAATTGAGTCAGCACAATGTTGGTTGCGATATGTTCCTAATACCCGCCATCTATAGAATTTTAAAATTTTATAAACCTTTAAATATTTCTTAAATAAAGATCATAAAAGCTGTCCTAACATTTTGAAAATTTTTTTCAATAATGAATGGCAGAGGTATATTTAGGATTGATTTCACATGTAGGAAATCTACTACATGCTGTTAATGTGCAGTTGCAATCAGAAGAATCTTAACAAAGATTCACAAAATTATGCTGCAGATGTGTTCATCTTTACAGTTAAAAATTGACAATAAAGTTTATGGCGCCATTGCTAAAACTATATTAAAATGTTCAAATATTTTAAAAATACCGATAGACATTGCTGCCTTATTTGAGGATATTGCAATGCTCTCTATTTTTGATTTACAATGTAAAAAATATATTTATTTTATGCGAATGTATAAATAAAAAAATATGAATTAAATATAATGTTAATTATATTTTATTTGAGATTTAAATAATCGAACTAAACGTTTATGTCGTTCATGAGATATTTATAAAATTCCTGGCATGACATATAAATTTGTTTAACCATTAGCTCGGCCTCTAATGTTGTTAAAGCAATCCGTTTTCCAGGCAGTCCTCATCAGGCTAAAAATGTGCTCGGATGAGGCATTAGAATGAGGTAAGGAGAAGACATATTCGCAATTTTTTTCCAAGCATGGGGATTTATTGTTATTACGAAAAAATTCTACCCGTTTCTCCTCTGTTTTTAGACAATCTAACTTTAAGTATTCTGGCGAATCATAAAAAATAGAGAGAATTACAATCTCCTCAAACAAGACATCAATTCAATGTCTATCGGCATTTTTAATATATTTATTAAATTACAAAAACCTTCAATTGATGGTTTCTATTCCAAGTTCATAATATTTATACATTTGTAAAAATTTTAATTCTATATCTATTAAAATATATAACCCTGCATTCACAGTTAATAAAAAATTTTGTATACTCACAGCGAAATCGTGCTGAGTCTGAATTCAGGGTAAGATTTTTGGAAAAAAACTTAAAAACCATGTGAATATTATTTATCAATATGATACAATCAACATCCTATAAATTTAATGTCAAGATTTTGAAATTTATAAACATATGGTAAAAATAGATTTTCCCCCAAAACGGGCAAATTGGCATTTTATTACATCCTTTATCGGGACAGAAATAAATATACAAAATAAGTATATCCCCATAAAGCCACCGATGCGGTTTGTCACTTTTCTATGGTACATCTATATGAAATTTCTATTTATGTTAACAATCTATATTTCTACTCATTTGCGTCAAAAAATGCAAATAACTTTAAAAATAACGATTATAACCATTGTCATTTATCTAGGGTACATCTTCACTGAAGTTTTATTCTAACATGTTAGCAATACTTATTTTAGCCCATTTATGCAAAAAAAAATTAAATAACTTTAAAAAATGACAATTGTCATTAATCAATGGTACATCTCACTGAAATTCTATTAGAGTTAGCAATCATATTTTTATACTTTTTGGGTCCAAAAAATTCAAAAAATAACGAGTATGACAATTGTCACATTTATAAAGTACATCTTATTGAAATTTTAATTTAATATGTTAAAAATACATATTTTTACCCATTAGCGTCAAAAAAATATAATGTTTAAAATACCGATTATGATAATTGTCATTTTTTCAAGGAACATCTTCATTGAATTTATAAATAAATATTATTTTTGCCCTTTTGTGTCAAAAAATTTCAAAAATGTGAAAAAAACGAATATGACAAGTGTCATATTAAAATATTATCATTAATAAGATCATAGAAATAACATAAATGAGTTTAATATAAATATTTAGAAAAAACCATCTCTTTTAGTATACTTTAAAAAGTAGATAATTTTATAAAAATGATAAAAAAAACTTTAAAAGATCATCAAAGATTTCCTCAAAAAATATTTAAAATTCTTATCAAATCATAATATGTTCAAAAATCTTTTGGAACTTCAAAAAATATTTTTTGCTTAAAATTTTGGGTGTAAAAATCACTAATAAATTGTAACAAAAATAATACAATAGCAGCATTATTTTTTTAATTATAAAAACAACAAATAAATAAATCCATTTTCATAATATAATATACGCATATTATATGTTAGTTTGTTGATAATAATAAAATATTTAAATATAAATAAATAAATTATTTTACTAAAAATAAATAAATTACGGAACGCTGAAGGACGATTAGCAGAATTTTTGACTAATTAAGTTTTAGCCGATTACGCAACACCAATAGTAAGGTTAATAATTCATGAGAATATGACTCATAAAATCAAAAATAGTAATAGAATTATTGCGAAAATATTTTTTATTAATAAATATGGAAAATGAGGGCATATTAATAAGCGGATTTAATATTAAATCTAACCTAATGCAGCTTCCAGCAATTGTATAAGTTCTTCAAAATAACCCTTATCTTGATAATAATTAATTAGGTCTTCTAGCTCGTCGGCATGAACAACAATGTGCATACCACAAACTTGAGCTAATCTAAATTCTTTATTATCTACACATGCAAAGCACACCTATTGGTAATTTTTGATGTATATAATAAAATTTGAGTGACTGATTAATTCTAAAAATTGCAGAAATATAGCTAATAAAAATTAAAAATTTTAATTGATTGTTAACTTCTTTCCATGTTTTAGTGCTTGTAGCTTTTCTGGCACTATCGACTGCCCCTTGATATTCGCCCAGATGAACCAAAGTAATAGCTAATTTCGCAAAATTCGATACATTATTGAATAAAAGTTTTGATGCTTCGTACATTTTGTTCTGGAAACATCGATCTCCAATCTAATAATAGAATACTCATAATATGATCCATAATTTGTTATGATTATTAATTTAATAAAATTTTAAATCAGTCATGATATAATTTTTTTAAACCTGTTGAATTTGGGCATGATTTGGCCCAGATATAAATTCCTCCATATCAGTCAAACGATTTGTTTTGGCGTAGGCGTATACTAATTCCGTTTCGATAAAACTTTCTCGTGATTTTTTCCTTGCCATTTGCAAATAGCGTACAATATCCTCCCATTTTTCTATAAAAATTAGGAGGAAATGTTAATACATGGCTAATATATGATTTTTAAAATTCCAGACAAATATATTTTCATACAAATAACTAATAGTGCTGTTAAGAGGTTAAAATTAAAACGTGCTGATACTTTTAAAAATCCGATCCATGTGTTTTATTTTATTTTTACATATTAATATTACCTTATATATTATTTAATTTCTTAATAATAATATTTAAAATTTTTTATTATCTTTATAACAAAGGAAAATTCTAAACACCAAAAATTTATATATTTTCGATGATTTTATTTATTTTAGATTTTATTTTCATAAAAATGGAACTGAAAATACCGTTTTATGTATTTTAATTCTTTTTACAAATAAACGCTAATTTTATCGTAAAATGAGCAAAAACTAAAATTAGGTCCACGGGCTTAAAATTTTGACCACACCATTATTGGTTGTAATATAATACTAATACGTATTTTAAATTTTATCGTAATTTATATTTGTGAATATTTGGTAAGCAATAAAATATATCTTTGAGATGTAATTAATTCTCAAGGTACTTATAATAGTCATATTTTTTTTATCATATTATCATTATATCCTTGATTATCTATATTTTAATTTTATACAATTCTGTATAAAATTTTATTGGTTTTGTTTATTATTTAAAAATACAAATTTAGGATACATCATATTTAGGAAACTTTAAATCCGATGCACTTATAAGGTGCATCATTATCAGCATCAAATAAAAAAAATTAGATTATAGGAAAACGAATTCTAAGAATATATGAAAAATAATTAGAAAACAAAGAAATAAATGATAGATTATAGTATAGAAAACAGCTGGTAGTCAATGTTTAAAAAAATAAATGATTGGGTTAATCTAATTAGAGATCGACAAAGCCCGGCTCATCAAAAAAATTTAATGGGTTGGGCGCGCAATTCGTACATAAAATATTTCTAGACCAGGCTGGACAATTTATGCACAGAAAATAAGGCAGAGGATAATCGCTTTTTTTTATTTTTAATAGGTTACCATAGAGATAAAAATTGATATATTTTTTTTGAACAAGCTAATATTTAAAATAATTCCATTTCAATACAAATATAATATGCTTATTTTAATGTGTTTTAAAAGCTATATAACTAGGGTTGTGCCGATATTACATATCGGATCGGCATCGTTATTTAGTGTTTTCAACAAATATCGGACCGGAATACAATTTATTTGTTGTAATGTGTTAAAAAATAGTAAAAAATTTTACACTATCTTTTGTTTTATTGTCTGCAACAAGAAAAATATTTTAAAATATCACACGACAAATTCAGCGAATGTTGATAAGCTGCTCGATTGAGCCAATTTTTAAAAACCGTTAACTCAAGATTTTGGCCAAAAGTAAATTTATCGAGCTTATTTATTTTGCCACATATGGCAGAAATATCTGGGCTTCTATTGGCAAAATTTCGAGGCTTAGGTAATGTTTTAGTTGGTATCTAAATTTAGCCCTTTTTAAAAATCAGCCAAATGGAGCTGTTTAACAACACTACATTCACCCCGAATTCTGATCATGATCTTTTCAAAAAAAGAAGAAATCCAGGTTTAACCTTTTTTAAGAAAATGGATCGCGTTTCTTATTTTATAAATTTCTGAATGCTCGATGATAAATTAACTAATATAAAAAAATTAAATAAATTAATTATAATAGAAGAATAAAACAATATTAATATATTTATTTATAATCAAAATTAGCCTTTAAATAATTAAAAAAATTCTAAATTATATTCAAACATTATTTATATCAGTATTCAAAATAAATGAATCATCATTTAAAAATTATTTATGCACATTTTGCGAATATTTTTCCACAAAGCATCTGCATGTAATTGATCCTGCAGGTTTTCCAAATGAATAATTTTTTCACCAACAGATTTTGGGTAGGTTGATATAAGATCAATTAAGCTTAAATTTTGAGTGTATTGCTGCTAATATGCTAATGCCCTCAGAGTGAAGGAAATCTATATTTTAAGAAATGATAATTAACATTATTATGTGGAGCTGAGGAAAAGGATCACATTTATATCTGTCATTTCAATAACGGTATGTGTATTTACTTCATCTATAATAAACATTGTAAATACCCAAATAATTTATTTCATTTTGAAGTGAATAAAAAAAACTTTAATGTTGTAAATCAAATTAGTAAATGTTATCTTGATAAAATTTACGAGAAAAATATAAAATATCGTGCAGGATGCTAAATTATGATGGAGATGGATAATAAAATTTTATTTAAAAATTTTTTAATTTATTTATATATTTTTTAAGTAACAAATAAATTTTTAAAAGATCGAATATTTAACAGTCGACCAAGATCCTTAATTTAAAGGAAAATCATAAATCTGGGTAAATTACCCAAATTGGGATCAAATTCAGGATCGTCGATCCTTTAACAACTCTGCATTTACACATAAACATTGCAAATATTTTAAATGAGATAATTAACTTAGTTGATTTTTATTAAATAGAAAATATTGATTGGACAATGATTAGACCTGTGCGCCGCCGGCTCACTCCTGTATTGCTAGAAAAGCCGCTATTGAGATCATCGGCGCGAGCAAGCTCGCTGTCGATTTTTATTATGGCGGCGGCGCGGCGTGTGCAATTTTTAGAAAGCATATTAATTATATTTATATATTAAATTATTATTATTTTAATTTGAATATAACAAATATAATTAAAATATGAATTGTATTCTATTGCTATATATAATAGACTAGTGAATATCATTTACATTCATTCATACATCATATTTTATTTCCACAAACAATTCATATTAATTATTTTTATGGACTTGCACGTTTTAAACCACCCTATATACAATGAAATAACAATTTTCTCTACTAATCATAAATCAAGTTATATCTATGTGGAAATCTTATTTTGAAGAATGAAAATAAGAAAAGCACAATAGTGCCTAATTATATTTATTGTGAACCTTGCTTAAAATTGGCGAAAAAAGATGAGGAAGATTCGAATAAACCTAATTCATTTTCACAGTAATTTATTTTTATTTTAGACTTATATTTATACTTTAGTTAAGAAATAAAATGTTTTAGTAAAAATATAAGTACAAGTAATCTATCTCGGCACTTAATAAATTTTCACAAACTATCAGAAAAATGAATAATAAGTCTAAAAATGTTTTTAAAGCTAACACCAAGATGCAGCAACAATAAAAAATAAAAATGGCTCTTAGGTTAGTATTATTGTTTATTATTATTCATTTAAAATTTTAAACTGGTTTGTTAAATTAAGTTTATTAAGCTTTATTTTGAAAGTTCAAAACAACTAAATTTTTAGTTTATTTATTGCCAGCTCTATTTTGAGATCTTTTTAATGTATAAACTTAATATATAATTTATTAAATTAATTATGTAAAACTTTATTTTGAAAGTTACTACTAAATCAAATTCATAATTTGTTTCATTCCAACTCTAATTATTATATTTTTAAATGTCTTTTTAATGTATAAACTTAATATATAATTTATAAAATTAATTATGTAAAACTTTATCTTGAAAGTTAAAACTAAATCAAATTTATAATTTGTTTCATTCAAGCTCTAATTATTATGATGTTTTTTAAATATCTTTTTAAAGTATTACTTAATATATATTTAAAACTTTATTTTAGAAACTTAAAACTAAATCAAATTTAAAATTTGTTTCATTCCAGCTCTAATTATTTTAATATTTTTTAAATATCTTTTTAATGTTTAAAATAAATATGAAATCTAATAAGGCGAAATTAGAGAAATTATTTCAGCCATTAGATATCGAGTAGCTGATTTGGAATGTGAAATTGAGGCTGAACATAAATATCTGCAATAAATTTATGAGACAGGTAATATCTTGGATATTGATGATTCTGATCCATACCTTGATGACCATTTTCATATGTCTGATGAATCGAAGACATTGCACCAACCAATCTAATTAATGCAAAAACTTTAAAATTAAATTGCCTTACCTGCTGGCATAGCATATTAATTATGCTAGAAAGTGTTTGCAGTGTAAACAAAATTATTATAAATCATGTTTTAAATAAAATAGGAAAACAATCTTTAAAACTTTTTAATAATGAATGAGATATGATTGATGAGCTTTAAGTAGTATTAAATCCATTCCGAGAGTCAGTGGAATTTCTTTCCTCCCAAAAAGGATCGACAATAAACTTAGGGTTATTATTTCGCAGTGAAATAGAAGCTCATATACAAATCAATAGATCTGATTGCCCAAATATTATTTGCTTAAAAGAAAATATGAAAAAAAAGCTTGGCCATAGGTTTCCCATTACTGAACTTCAATTTATTTTATATTTTTATTAATAAAATTATATTTTAAACATTAGATATTAGCAACTCTACTTGATCCCAGTCAAATCTTAAAGTTGTTTCAGAATATTTAAATTCGAATTCTACAACATCATTACAATTTTTAATTCGACATTTAAAACTTTTAGAGCATGATAGAAATGCACAGAGTGAAATTCAAGTTAAGGATAATGGTCAAACATCAAGCTCTTATATAGCTAAATGCTCGTATGCATTCCCTTCCAAGTAACGATTATAACAATATTAGTAATCTTGAACAAGAATGCCATATTTTATATAGCCAAAATAATATCCCAGAAGAGGATGCATTAATCTTTCGGTAGAAAAGGCAACTGGAACTTACTATGCTTGCTAATTTAGTTAGGAAGGTTCTTTGTATACCTGCAACCAGTACACCCAGCGAAAGAATTTTTTCCATTGCTGGATTAATACTCAAAGCTAAAAGGACTTCTTTATGTCCCACAAATCTTGATAAAATACTATTTCTTCGTGACAATTATAATTTTGCTAAATCTGAATACTGACTTATTATATTTCATAACTTATATTTTGCTTGCATTCCAAATTTATTTTAATTATAATAAAAATCAATAGAATATTTCTTATATGTGTTGTGACTCTGATTTGAGTAAAAATGCAATTCTTTAGTCTATTTCCGAGAATGAGAAAATACATAAATTTAAATTGGAGTGAGACAGGAAATAATTTAAGATCAATTAAACTATGTTTGCAATTTGTTAGAAAAGATAGAATAAATTTGTAATACATTAATTAATAAATTAAATTCTTTAAAAAATAAATTAATTTATAAATAAAATTCATTAAAAAATTTTTTAAAATAAATATTGCGAAGCCACCAACAATTTAGTAGGCGGCGGCGAAATCAGCGCGCCGCTGAACGCTGATAAAAAAATTTAAAAAACCGCCGCCGTCGATTGAGACATCGGCGCACAGGTCTAACAATGATTCAAAGATAGATGGTAAATAAAAACAATATAAATATCGGATCGGGTTTTTGTAATATCTGATCGGATTAGTGAAAAATTTGTGGATATGCATAGATGTATAAGTTAAATACTAATCTATAATAATATTGTAAATTATTCAAAAACTAAGAAAGTTATTTATGATATGATCTTATTACAAAATCTAACTTAGTTAAAAATGTGATGGCCAGAAAATTTGTGCAAAAAAATTCAACAAGATGGGGCCTTTTCGTAATATTTAACATTTGTGAAAAAATTCTCAACAAGCCCAACATTAAACAATTTATTTTGCAATTACCATTTTTAGATGCGATATCGACAACCTCTAGATAATTCGATGGGTCTTCGGCTTTAATGTAGGAGTCTACTGCTTCTTTGACCATATTATTTTGAATGTAAGACTTCGCCAACAGACTCCAAACAGCAGGTTCATTGCATCTTTCGGCAAATTCGTAGGCTCGATCAAGATTGTGTAAGTTATCAATCAGAACCTTAATTAATTTTTAAATATAGAAAAATCATAAGTTTTAGTTGATGTATCATTTTTGATCAAAACTGGCTATAATACACAGTGTTGTTAAAGTAGCCCACTAATTTTTTTGAAATGTAGCGTTGTGCTATAAAAACTATTTATAAATACATAAAATATTTTATCATTTTATGTGTGCAACTGTTTCTTTTTCTTCATCGTCTATTAGCGGTTTACCCAGTTTCCCCTTTTCTTTACTTTTTCCTGTTCTGGGCGTTGTTATTTGTAAAATCAATTATTCTCATATCACCCGTTATCACTTTCATCTATGTCCTCGTTGGTTTTCCTCGAGGACTTGATCATATTACTTCTTCGAAGTATATCTTTTAATCCAATCAATTTTCATTCAAAGTGCCCAAACAACCCCAGTCTATTTCACTCATTACCACTCCAATATCTTTTATTCCAATCCTTTCTCACAATTTATCGCTTGTTTTCTCTCTCATAGATACCCCAACACATTTGGCCACTCTCATCCCATTTAGTTTCAACCACCATAGACTATGCAACTTCTTACATAGCTTAGATACAAATTTTCCATTTCAGAGATATGTTTTTCTTTTGAAATAGACAATATCTCTCGGAACTTCTTCAATGCATATCTGGCATATGCAACAATAGAGGAATCAACACATCAATCTGTGGCCCAAATAACAAAAAATTTCCACGTTCTCCAAAGTAGCTCCATTGACGATATCTAAACAACCTTTTTCTACCTACAGGTAGGGCCATCTGCTATAATCAGGCGTTTTTTCTTACCAAATCTTTTATGCACCAATTTCTGACAACGGGTGCATTGGATTAAATTACTAGTAACCTGTCCACACAAACCACATAGCCAAGTTCCTGTTTTTTCATTATTTACTGATCCCTCGTATCGATTATCACCATTGTCTTTCCTTCGTTTGCTTTTAAACATATTTGTTTCCATAAGCATCTTCCATATGATATTATCCTTTCATTCAGTTTCAGTTGTAGCCAGCAGTACAAGATCGTCATAGATGCTCTCAAGATAGTCTTCCACGTGCCCCTCCACCACGTCCATTCCTATAATAAATAAAATGGCTCAAGACTGGTAATATATCAAATATTTTGAATTATTATATTTTAGTATAATTCCAATGATCAGATAATAGAAAATGAAATGGATAGGATAAATAAGAGTGATGATAACGATATAATATAATACTAGATAATTAATCTATAATAATGGTGTATGTTAAATATATTTTCGTCTAAGTTTAACAACCATAGAAGTTAAATTCTTAATATAAAAATGATATGTTTTTTTAAATCACTTAATTACAAATATTAATTTTTTAATAAATAATATATTAAATGATTTTTATTTAAATAGTGTAAAAATCATTTAATTACAAATATTAATTTTTTAATAAATAATATATTAAGTGATTTTTTTTAAATAGTGTAAAAATAGTTAAAGCTACTTTTTGAAACTAGTAACTATTAGGGCACTACTTTTGAAAGTAGCGTTAAACAACACTGTTTTACTTAATATTCTAATGTTAAACAATTCAATTATTAAAAAATTTACATTATATAATTTAGAGGTCAGCATATTTTTAGCCAGCCCGACCATATCTTGCGGGCGTAATCGGGTTTTTTAAAATATAATTAACATGGGCGGGTTAAATAAAATTGTAAAGTAATGGGAGGGCATGGGCGGGTAAATTTTTAATATTTTTCAGGGGAAATGAGCTGAACTTACTTCAATTTATTAAAAATAATATGGGTAAAAACCTGCCTATTGCAGACCTCTAATATAATTTTTTTAGCGATATGATATAAATGATTTAGTATAATATCGCTTATATATAAGCTATCATTCAGATGGAATGTGTATAAAAATAAAATTTACGTCCTTAGAAGTCTGTCAGAGAGCGAACAATCGAAAGTTGAAAAAATACTTTAAATGTATAGTGAAAGTATAACTAAACTTGTATGGCAGCAGTGTTAACGTCAAATTTTTTATAAATAGCAAAGGCTTCTTCGTAGAGGTGATTATTGACGGCTATATTGGCTATATCAGGAGCGTCGTAATTGTCCAACCTATTTATATAATCCATAACACGAGGCGTATCAGCCTTTATGGCAGTGAGAATCAACAAATTTTGCAAATTTCTAAATAGCATAAATGATAATTACGGCATGGGTAAATTTCTAATGATATCAGAGATGATTACCTAAGAAGTTTTTTATAGGTATATAATTTTAAAAGTTGGATATGACAGAAAACTGATTTTAATTGATTATAACTTTTTTAGTTACATAGTATCCTATCAGGATCTAATTAATATTGAAAAAAGATACTATGAAATTGAAAAAGACTATGCATTTGAAAAAAGACCATAAAACTTAAATCGCGAAAGGATCCGCGAATGCGTTACAGTGGAAACAATATATCAAATGTCCTACAGTGAATGTATTATCGCAAAAAAATTATCGTGAATATATTACAGTAAAAACATTACCGCAAGTGTATTTTAGGGAAAATACTAATGCGAATACATTATAGAGAAAAAATATGTGAATTCATTATTAATGTATTACCATGAAAACAATATAGCAAGTACATTATAGCATATGCAATACAACAAAATCATTATCGCGTTTTTTTTATAAATTTATTTATTTTACATAAATAACTGATATAATTAATGTTAAGTATTCAGATTCCTTTAATATACTTGTACATTCTAAATATATTATTTTTTTATTTTCTACTGGGAAAAAAATAAATAGAATAACCGTCGTCCCTTGGCAACTGGATCAGCCCCTAGCTGAGACTTCATATATCGACATATTCATTACATCTAATTATAACAACTATTCCACAGAGATGGCGGAATCTAATTTTCAAATACACCTTTCTATCTACCATAATTATATCCCATTAATTAGCATAATTCTTGGTAATTTTGGTGACATTTCTGAAATTTCTTAAGTATTTGGTAGGAAAATTTTCCACAATATTGGAAGAGCTGCAGAGAGCTTCTATATCTGACCTCATAAAATCGGATTAGAAATAAGCCAGTCAAATGTAATTTCAAAAAAGGGTGCATGCCAATTAGATAATTTTTTTAAATGTTTTTTACATAATATATATTTTATTTAATATTTTAGATTTTTAGATGTATTTATTTTTATTGTTATAAATTCATATATAAATAAAATAAAGGTACAAAATTTTTTAAAAAAATTTCTATCTTTTTTTTGAATAGCGAGTAACACCTTTCTTTTTCACAAGTAATGCATTCCTTTTTCAAATGTAACAAATAAAGTATTTATTTTTTGAAATAACGTTTGAAGCACTAATTCGAATATATTAGCGTAAGCACAATAGCTAGTTTTTCCAACTAATTATAGTATAAGCTGTAATATATTTGTTAAAATATATTTGTCAGAGTGCATTAATCCCTTTGATGCCCAACTTTTTAATAATTTTTAAAAAAATTTCTATAAATTATTTAAGGGTGTACCGATACCACTTTTTGGAGGCCGATCCGATATTTCCAATACTGAATTGATATCGGCCGATTACCGATCGGATATCATATCTAATTTTGTATACTGTAAAGATACCAATGGTTTTAATTTTTAATATACTTTTTATTAGTATAACATCTATAATTTAACTATACCATAACTTATGTCATTTAAATACATTATAATGATCAGTTATAGTTTATATCAGAGACCTGCAGACCCGACCCTAAGCCCGGCCCGTATTTTAAATTTTTAAAATAAACCAGGGCCGGGCCGGGCATGAAAATTTTTTTATAAAAAAACCCGGGCCGGGCCTGAAAATTTCTTTTTTTAAAATCAGGGGGCCGGGCCGTATTATTTTTAAAAATTTATACAACATGAATTATTATATTCGTCAATTAGATATGGTTATAATGATTATATATAGTTATGATTAATATAATGTTTGGTGAGAGTTAACACTAGCTAACACTCATAGTATCTATTACAAAATTATAGTTTTCCTGCCATGGAATAAATATGCAAAGGATTAAATACATTATTATATAATATATGTTATATTTTTTATTAATTAAAATATTTTTATTTTTTTTATAAATACATAGTATATTCTCAAAATATTATTTACACAAATTTTTTATAGTATCAATTTGTAATATACTAAATATCTGTTTAGAATAAAAAAAAAATATGTTTTGTTAAGCGGCTCGTTTTGAGCCGATTTTTAAAAACGGCTAACTCAGTTTTTTATCCAGAAAAATATTATGCAAGCCTGAAAATTTTGCTAATAGAAGGAGCAAAGGTCTAGACATATAGTATCGAAATTTCGAGGCTTAGTCAATATTTTTCTGGCGAAAATATTGAGTTAGCAGTTTTTAAAAATCGGCTCAAAACGAGCCGTTTAACAACATTAGCTATTATACTTGCTTATTAAATGATAATACTCGCAGAAATATGATAAAATACGAAATAATAAATTTTTTGTATATACCAGGTCGAATATAATTTTAAAAAATTCCGAGCAGGGCTTAAAAAATTTTTTTAAAAAAAATCCAGGCCGGGCCGGGATTCCTTTTTTTAAATATCCAGACCGGGCCGAAAATTTTTTAATCTGGGCTGGGCCGTACAAATGGTACCTCTGCAGGTCTCTGGTTTATATTCAATTCTATAAGTATATAAAATATTTTTATTGTTAAATCACTTTTATATAATAAGTAATAGTGCGCACAAATTGAGCGTTTCAAGCGCAAATAATGCATTTCAAATGACCTCGTGCAAATTGGTAAAATTACAGTTTGGCGTTAGCAACCATTTTAAAAAACGCAAATAGGTTTGCTTTTTCATTACTTTTTATTATTATTCGCTGTGTAATATTATATAAAATGTAATATAAATATCTTACTTATATCCTAAAAAGGAATATTTAAACGCAGACGATAATATAATTTTCAAAAGAAAATCATTTTTTTAAGAACTTATGTAAAATGTTGCGTTTGCAACGCAATGTTTGAAACGCTCAATATGTGCGCACTATATAATACATTAATCTATATACATAATAAGTAATAAACAAATATATATGAAATTTGAAATAAATATTTAAAATAATATTTAAAATTAACATATCGAAGATTTCTTATTAGAAATACCAAAATTTCCAATTTATCAGAGGTCAGCCTGCGCGATGCTAACTGTCAATATCACCAGCTTCACTAAAAACTGATTCTGAAGAGATTATCGCACACTTTATAAACAGAATGCGCAAAAAAATAACAATAAGGCAGAATGTTTATTAATTAATTATTATTAATAAAAAAAAATAAACATAAAAATGGATTTGAAATGATTTTAGATATAACTTTTTTAAAAAATTTTATAACATTTTATTTTTGTTAAAGACGCCATTTTGTATCGGATCGGATCGGGAAATTTTATAATATTGGCTGATAGCCAGTATTTTAAAATGGGTGAAATATCGGCCCAATCCGATCAGATAAAAAATATCGGTACATATCTAAAATTATTCATTTATACACTCCATAGATGCCCAAAAAATTTCCAACTTATATTTTTAATTTTACAAGTAAAAAAAATGATGATGCAATTTAGCATCATCAGGCATAAAAAATACAAATATCTATTTATTATAAAAATCTCAAAAACACTTTCTATATTAGTTATAACTAGACCTGTGTCCCGCCGGCTCACGCCGGAAAAGCCGCCGATTGAGATCAGCGACGCGAGACGGCTTACCGCCAATTTTTATTATGGCGGTGCGGCGTGTGTAATTTTTAGAAACCATATTAATTATATTTATATATTAAATTATTATTATCTTAATTTGAATACTAACATTAAATCTAATTTATAATTTGTTTCATTCCCAGCCCTTATTATTTTGATATTTTTTAAATATCTTTTTAAAGTAATATTTAATATATAATTTTTTAAAACTTTATTTTGAAAGGTACTACTAAATCAAATTCATCATTTGTTTCATTCCAACTCTAATTATTATATTTTTTAAATGACTTTTTAATATATAAACTTAATATAAAATTTATTAAATTAATTATGTAAAGCTTTATTTTGAAAGTTAAATCTATATCTAATTTATAATTTGTTTCATTCCAGCCCTAACTATTTTAATGTTTTTAAATATCTTTTTAATGTTTAAAATAAATATGAAATCTAATAGGGCGAAATTATATTTTGATGTCTGCTTAGATTTAATGCCATTTGATTCTATAAACAATAAAGGAAGGACAGACTTTCTAAAAGGTTTAAAATTTATATAAAATGATGATTAAAAAATAAATTGTTCAAAAATTTGAAATATAAGATAATTGATTCCTCGTCAGAATTACCAAATAGGACAACCATTAATCGGGGTGCACTAGACGATGTTTATTTATCTATAAAGGCGCATGTTTTAAATTTGATTGACTCTGGACCAAAATTTTGTTATATCACTTTTGATTTGTGGACCGATCATTTCTTCATCATTTAGATGAAAATTTTGATTTAAAATATTTTACCCTCAACTAGAAATGTGATTCAAAAGCATACTGGGGAAACAATATTATCTGAGATTGATAGTATTGAAGAGGAGTTCCATTTAAAAGCCAAAATAATACAAATGATAACTGATGCTGGGGCCAATGTCAAAAGAAGCGTCCGATTAGGGGACTATGAGCATCATTTTAATAATAAATAAGATATGATAGATGAGCTTTATGCAGTATTAAATCCATTCCGAGAGTCGGTGGAATTTCCTCCCAAAAAGGATCTACAATATACTTAGGGTTATTATTTCGCAGTGAAATAGAAGCTCATATACAAATCAATAAATCTGATTGATCAGATATAATAGCCTTAAAAGAAAATATGAAAAAAAAGCCTGACCATAGGTTTCCGATCACTGAACTTCAAGTTATTTTATATTTTTATTAATAAAATTATATTCTAGACATTAGATATTAGCAACTCTACTTGATCTAAGATTTCAAAATCTCAATATTGTTTAAATTCTACGACATCATTGCAATTTCTAATACGACATTTAAAACTTTTAGAGCATGATAGAAATGCTCAGCGTGAAATTCAAGTCGAGGATGGTACATCATGCTCTTATA